TAAAAATTATTATTATTTTGGGGTATCTATAAACTTGTCGGTCATCTCGTGAGCCAGGTCCAGATATTTTGTCAACTTATCTGTTTCGGCTTTCACGAGGTTCTCGTCATAAGGAATGGTAATGACGACCAAAAATATCCTTGACTGTGCCCGGTCCATCAGCACAATATCAGGCTTATTCGCAAGAATAGTCCTGTCCGTGATGATGGCCCGGTCTCAGTAGAGCCTGGCGCGGTCATTTTCGAGCACGGCTTCCGGCAAGTACTTATAATATGGCAGTTTCCGATCCACGAGACCGTATTTCAGAGCGAGCTCCTGGTGTAGAATCCTGGCTATTAGGTTGTGTCTGTGCAAATACTCAGAGTTAGAAAGCGCCGAACAACTGGAGATGACATGCCTAAGTGACTCACCGGGATGGCGACAAGCTCGACAGATGTCGACGGCGCCATCCTTTAGGATGTATTTCCGATAATTGTTGGTCTTAATAACCTGATCCTGTATCGTACAGACAAAACCCTCGGTTTCCCCAAAGAGGTCACCGAAACGTAGCCAGTGGAGGGAGGCGACTGTGTCTACGCAAGGCTCATGTAGAGCCTTGTAGAACCTCCCGTGGAGCTCCTTCTCCTTCCATACGGTCTCCCGGTCGGAAATGCTCTGTACTGCCGGGTCTTGCCATTGCTCGTTGGCTAAGGATAGAGGGGTCAGTCCTTTATCACAAGAAATAACGTCCCTATAGAATGGATCATCCGCTCTCGTCAGAAAGTAATTACGGAGGCTGCACACTTCGCGATTATGCATGGTAAGCGCGCTTAAAAAGCCGCGCCCACCATGCTTCCGCGGCAAGTACAGCCTCATTACTGACGATCTCGGATGATGCATCCCGTGGGACGTCATTATAGTGCGGACTTTTCTGTCCAGAGAATTATTATTATTATTATTATTGGGGTTATCTATAAAGTTTTCTCATCTGGTTGGGCTGTTTAAATATATAATTATAAACGAAATATATAAACATACATAAATATCAATAAAATAGTATAAATACATAAAAAATACATAAATATATAAAAGAACCCAACCAGATGGAAGCCCTCGGCAGGGGAGACCAAACGGCCGAGGGTTAGGGGGAAAGGGAAAGAAACCGGCGGACGATGCGGGCGGTATCGAGGAGCACCGCCTTCTGCATTTGAGCTTGGAGCGGTCCGTCACGGAGTCCCAGTCGCCTCAGATGACCCGAGAGGCTAACTGGGATTAACCCGTTCGCAGAAACGACCACAGGAATAATTTCGGCCGGCAGACCACCCCACATGTCGGTCACCTCGTAGCCAGGTCCAGATATTTTGTTAGCTTATCTGTTTCGGCTTTCACGAGGTTCTCGTCATAGGGAATGGTAATGTCGACCAAAAATATCCTTGACTGTGCCCGGTCCATCAGCACAATATCAGGCTTATTCGCAAGAATAGTCCTGTCTGTGATGATGGCCCGGTCCCAGTAGAGCCTGGCGCGGTCATTTTCGAGCACGGCTTCCGGCAAGTACTTATAATATGGCAGTTTCCGATCCACGATACCGTATTTCAGAGCGAGCTCCTGGTGTAGAATCCTGGCTACTAGGTTGTGTCTGTGCAAATACTCAGAGTTAGAAAGCGCCGAACAACCGGAGATGACATGCCTAAGTGACTCACCGGGATGGCGACAAGCTCGACAGATGTCGACGGTGCCATCCTTTAGGATGTATCTCCGATAATTGTTGGTCTTAATAACCTGATCCTGTATTGCACAGACAAAACCCTCAGTTTCCCCAAAGAGGTCACTGAAACGTAGCCAGTGGAGGGAGGCGACTGTGTCTACGAAAGGCTCATGAAGGGCCTTGTAGAACCTCCCGTGGAGCTCCTTCTCCTTCCATACGGTCTTTCGGTCGGAAATGCTCTGTACTGCCGGGTCTTGCCATTGCTCGTTGGCTAAGGATAGAGGGGTTAGCCCTTTATCACAAGAAATAACGTCCCTATAGTATGGATCATCCGCTCTCGTCAGAAAGTAATTACGGAGGCTGCACACTTCGCGATTATGCATGATAAGTGCGCTTAAAAAGCCGCGCCCACCATGCTTCCGCGGCAAGTACAGCCTCATTACTGACGATCTCGGATGAAGCATCCTGTGGGACGTCATTATAGAATGGAGCTGGGGACGGATAAGTGTGCGATCCTCCATGTCGAAAGGGGAAGGGTTGCTAACTCTGAGGGCATAGACTTATCTATGCCCATCAGCATAAGGACCCTTTCCGAGGCTGAAACATACCGATACCTGGGTATGTCACAGAACATCGGTGTAGATGAGTCGGGTATGAAACGGTCAGTTTGCGATGTGTTTTATGCACGCTTGACCAAAGTGCTTAATAGCCTTTTGTCCGGTGTGAATAAGACGCACGCATATAACGATTGGATCATGCCTGTTCTCATGTATACCTTTGGCATACTTAGGTGGACTCAGACCGAACTGAACGCTCTGGACAGAAAAGTCCGCACTATAATGACGTCCCACAGGCTGCATCATCCGAGATCGTCAGTAATGAGGCTGTACTTGCCGCGAAAGCATGGTAAAGCACACGTAGATGCCGCCGTGAATCTTTCAGTTATGGTTGGTTCAGACGATGATGGAACAGTCGCCCAGGAACTAGAACTAGAGCAAATGAGGAGTACATTGGAAGAGGCTATTTTGGAAACGCGCAGTATGCCTCTCGAAAATCGACCGCGACTCCCGCGCATGCCCCTAAGCAAGCGGAATCGGACTGTCGTGAGGGCTCTCAACCCAATGCTGGTGACCTATTTGGAAGCCAGCTGGGACCTTTGCGAGACGGACTCAATTCTTTTTGGCGCCGCACTGGCAGTTTGCCGCATTATTGGCGCCAAAGTTCCCACGGCTGGACGCGCTACTAGACAAAGTAGCGCATTCCCAGCCTGGAGAAGAAGGATTGAGGACCGTATCGCAAAGGCAAGGGCCCTTATCGGCAGACTGATAAGCTTCAGGTCAGGCAATAATAGGCCGAGAATTGTGCGCACCGTCAGGATCGCATTTGCTGGGACAAATATCAGTTTGTCCCAGCCGGATATAACGCAAAAACTGACGGAGCGCATAGACGACCTGAAGCAGAGAATCGCTGCTTGGGGGAAGCGGATTCGGCGATATACCGAGAGGTTGGCACGGTTCAACCAGAATCGTCTCTTCCAGAGTGATCAGAAGAGGCTCTATGAATCACTGGAGCGACCAATGGTACGTGGAACGGGCCCAGCACCGAATCAGGCCGACACTATCGCATTCTGGCGCGGCCTGTGGTCAGAGCCCGTAAACCACAGCGAGGGCCCTTGGACGGAAGTCGTGGCGAGTCAGTGCGCGAATGTTACGCCCATGGACCCCGTCCTCATAACGCCGGATGACGTAGCTGAGGCGGTCCGTTGGGCCCCGAATTGGAAAAGTCCGGGACTCGACGGACTACATCACTACTGGCTGAAGGGGTTCATGGTGTGTCACGCTGTGCTCGCCCGACAGTTTCAAGGGGCTCTCGACCAAAAGTCGCTCCCGAGCCTCTTCACTACTGGGATCACTCATTTGGTTCCTAAGGACCGGGATTCCACAGACCCGAGCAAATACCGCCCCATAACGTGTCTACCTACCATATACAAGACACTAACATCCATTTTGAGCGCGAGAATCATTCACCTGAACTCAAACCAGGTGATGTCGCGCGCTCAAAATGGATGTCGGGGCGGTGGTCGTGGAACCAAGGAACCACTCCTCATTGACGCGGTCATTGGCAAGGTGGTTAAACGCAACCGTCGGTACCTCTCCGCCGCCTGGATAGACTACAAAAAGGCATTCGACTCGGTGCCTCATACATGGCTTAAGAGGGTCCTCGAGCTGTACAAGGTTGACTGTACAGTTCGAGACTTCCTCGGGCAGTGTATGGGGCAATGGAGTACGATCCTTTGTCATCTAGGCGAGCGGATGACGGCTGCGGAGAACCACATAAGGATAAGAAGGGGTATCTTCCAGGGCGATTGTTTGAGTCCAACCTGGTTCTGCCTCTCTCTGAACCCTCTCAGTACCTTACTGGAGGGCTCCGGGAGGGGATTTCAGCTTCGGAGAGGAGGTACAAAAGTGACCCACCTTTTCTATATGGATGATCTCAAATTATTCGCCTCCAGTCGCTCTCATCTTATGGAATTGCTAAACATCACTTATGATTTTAGCAATTCTATTAGAATGGAATTATTATTATTATTATTATTATCCAAAAAAATATGCAGACCAATTGAGAATGTTCTTGCATAACAATGTTCTTTGAATGAAGATAATCTGCACGCCACACCAACTTGCTAAAGGTAAGTTAAATAATAATATAATGTTTCAGACCGACTAAGAAAGAAAGACGGAGCGATGCGCACATTTGAAGTGACGCAAAAACCAAGCCAAACCCATGCTAAACTTACAATAGTGTAATACTAGCACAGTTTTGGCTTGATTTTTCCGTACTTTTTATTGAACACACAGCAAATATTAATACTAAATAGTATAAAAAAGCCGGCCAAGAGTACTAAGATGGCAAGTCAAAGTAAAATCAATATACATTTTTTTCAAAAGTGGCCCTTACAAAGCACTTTTTACAATTATCGACACTTACCACACTAAACTGTTGAAGTGAAAGTGAAAGTGCAAGTGCGAGTTGGACTCGCGCATCAAGGGTTGCGTACTATCGTAAAACACGTTTCCTTAGGGGAACCCACTTAAAATTTTTTTTTATTATTTGTTATTATAACGGTAACATAAATACACATTCTGTGAAAATTTTAACTGTCTACCTATTACGGATCATGAGAAACGCTGACAGACAGACGGACAGACGGACGGACAGACGGACGGTCGGACGGACGGATGGACGGACGGACGGACAGCGAATGCTTAGTAAATGCTATTTTAGAGACCTATTGTATTATATAATAACTTACCTTGTTATATAAAATGTCAGCAAGATCCTTTACATGGTTGGAATCAGGAAAGAGACCTGACATTCCGGAAATAACAATTCTTTCTCCGGATTTGAGGTATTCCTCCCTTTCGTACTGAGATACAGCTAGCTCTTGAGGTGTCGGTACCATTTTTCTGTAACAATAAAGAATATTAATGATACACGAACTTTTCCATGAAGCCGTCGTAGCTCTTCAGGCGCTCGTCGTCAATTTCATAATACACGAGCAACTTCGTTTCGATGCCCGCCAGTACTAAAAATTTTTTTAGCTTAATTTATCTTGAATAATTAAATAAAAGATAATGAAATCTATTTTAATACACTAAATGAGAGAAGGGTATATCCCAGCAGTGGACGGACACGTTAGGCTATATTTTTTTTTACATAATAACTATGGTTAAGGTATTAATTTTTAATAATTATAATAATAATATATTTACACACACATAAAAAGTCCCTAAATAATAATACAAAATGTTTACTTGTTCTACATAGCAGTATATCAGCTGACGCTTACAAAAGGAAAACCTGAGCTGTAAACGTCAAATTACCAATGTAAAGCTTCAAGATAGATAAAAAAGAGTTCACTAACTATACGTTTTTTTTTTTTATTTTATCAGACTTATAGAGGTATATCAGAATATTTCCTTCACCTATGACCACATAAAATATAAATCGGCTGTTAAAATTACAATTAACAATTCCGATTCGAACACAAATCAGATTTCGGCGCCGATCTAGTTTGCGTAGTATATTAATTTTGAGCTTATCTATTATCGGCAATCTATTTACTCGTAGGTTTAGACCCAGAGGTTTAATGCAGCAGGATTTGTGTATAGGCAATATTAGAATTGGCGACTATACCTGAAGCGATCGGGATTACTGTTTACTGTAAGAACTAATTTTAAAACTATATTATCTATAATCGTTGGTGCGTCTGGTATTGATCGTCTAAGTTCTGACTTGTTTTGTCTAGACGATGCTCCTAGCATAGCTAAGGCTATCGAGTCATACGAGGACTCTGTATGTTGCGCTGTTGTCAAGCTATTAATAATTTTAACATATATGGACCAAAATTACTCATATTCGCTATACATAGTACCACAATACATAATAACGTAAAGCGATAGGTGGCGCTGTGGTGAAGTTATCAATAGACTTAATATTAACACTGTAAAACAATTGCAGGATGAACATATCATAATCGACTCACTGAGAGTAACTTTTGGAACAGACAGACACGCTGACAGATAAAGAGGTGATCTCGAATTTCGGCTTGGAAAACTAATGATACTCGAAGAGTGATATGTTTAGCACACACAAGCAATTCGACAGAGGTACTGCGTCAAAGTTAACTAAATCCCTTTTTATATGTTACATTGTGATTAGAAGTCGAACGATTCATTTATTCCAATTATTATTTTCGTTCACTTGTGCATCATTCAATTTACACACAATAGTTCTTCTTACATTGTTAGAATATTTAATTATTGAATTGCATCGATTATTTCAATATGCAAATACAAATGCAATACAATTGTGGCCCATAAATCAATAGTAGAAGCCTTATTTACTCGTATTTTCAAAAACTGCAATAACCGTATATTAATGATAAGTATGTACGTGTATACTTATTTACGATTAAAAGTAAACATTCCAAATGATTATTCAGTCAATCACTCTGGGCCAAATCCAAAAGTGAGCGATATTGTCTTGATAATAGATCATTCGTTGCCACTGTAACGACTCCCCCTCCCCCTCCATCTCTATATATATATACTTGTACTTGTATTTCTTTAGAATCTATATCTATGGACTTCGCCCCTTGTTAGTGTCGTGTGTGAAGTCGCGCATGTCAATGCGTGTAAACGCCGTATAGAATACGATCAAATCCAGCCACAGTGAATGTACGTCACACGGGTTAGGCAACAATAGGCACACTGGCCATAAAAAGCCCTCCGTGAGCGTCACCACCTGCCAGACCGTCGTTCCTGCAGACGTGATGTAAGTGTAAGGCATCACCATCAATTGTATGGTCAGCACGGCCAATAAGCCGCAGAGCGTGTCATGGATCTACCGCTCACCTCATGGGAATGGGGTCCCACGTTGCGCGGCTTTCAGCCGCAGCCTTGAGAGCCTCTTCAGATTCTCCCTCCAGCTACCACCCGCATGAGGTCGACAGATATGCTCCACCAACCAATACAATGGCAGATATAGCCAATAGGCAGTTATAAGATATTAGTAATAGTTCGCCATCAGAAAGGGTTTGTGTCACTGACGTGGAGTATATGCATTTTTCGATCATGTTTGTCTTACCCAACAACAAGTTGCCTTTAATCTTTCAAAGGTGGGAACTTTATAGAGATACAATCATTATGTTATTATATAAAACATCATGGAGGAGAGACAGTCTGCAGCCCCGCAATGAAGGAACCCGACTTGGGCAAAGCTACTTAGTTTGTGAGTCAAACCAAGACGCAAGGAGCGACATTGAGAATAGCGACCCGCCAAACAACCATCGCAGTGACGCAATGCTGCAGAATACAACAAGTATCAATACGACTATCGTCGGGCTTACACCATCCCAAGGTCCCCCATACAGTCCCAGCAGACAGCACCACCCGCAAAATACCACCAACGTGTCATAGTAACACGCTACTGAGACGTCAGTAGCCAAAACTCCACGTATCATAGCGCTATTGCACTAAGGCATGAAGTTGAGTATGCTTGCTGCACTTAAAAGTACTACCAAAGATACTCACCCCAATATGAAAGATAGCCAACGTATCATAACGCTATGCGGTAGGACGCCGCCCACAAACGGTAGGGGTGTGCGATGTCCACGGGCAAGTCGTATTGCTACAACAAACCCGCGTACCATCGACACTAAGATGATATGTCTACGACACATCTATTTACCACCAACGTATCATAGTAGCACGGTACTAAGACGTCAGTAGCCAAAACTCCACGTATCATAGCGCTATTGCACTAAGACATGAAGTTGAGTATGCTTGCTGCACTTAAAAGTACTACCAAACACACTCACCCTAATCCGAAAGATAGCCGACGTATCATAACGCTATGCGCTAAGACGCCGCCCACAAACGGTAGTGATATGAATAAAAGCTTTATATTAAATTAGTTACTTATTGTTCGCGACAGCAAAATAGAGAAACGAAGTGATTAAAGACAATATTAACAGTAAAATTGGTGACAAACTAAGTGAAAAGTGCATTAATATAATTTTACAACATATTTTTAACCTTTATATGTTAGTACAGAACATCGTTTTGATGATAGTTAAGAAAATAACTCTTATTGTACAAAAAAGTCGGCGAATAAGAGCGCGACGTATTGTAGAACTTTCTAGGCGTTTTTAATTAACTGCGTAATAGTTGATCCCGAAAATGATGGAATAATTTTTATGTTCTGGAAGAATAAGAAGAAGAAGAAGCGCAATTAGACTAATTTCCTATTTATAATAAAATTAAACAATTAATTTACCCATATGTAATAATTTTAATAATGTACCCATTGCATGAACATAGGTTTTAACTGATGGTAAATCAATTCATGAACTTAAAACACGCTAATTCTAATTCGCTACAAAGTTACAGACGCTTGCAAAGGTGTTAATTGCCAATCAATTATATATTTCAGATTTGAAAATGTATTATCAGCAGAAATATTTTCAGAGAATCATTATCATTGCTACTTTTGGAATAATATAAGGTTTTTTTTTTCTTTTTTTTTTTATTGTTCATAGAACCAACAGCACGTTATAAATATAAACAGAAATTCTCAGATAATCCTTAATGCCAATTACAGGTTCTTACTTTATATACATAATGTATACTATCGCTTGTTAATTGACAAATTAATGATATTAATTACATAGTGCTTAGATTTTTAATTTATTATTTAAGCGAAGAAAGGTTCTCGAGTGGTAGCCTCGTACCGGCAGGCGAAGTATAGGGCGTCCCCCCACTAGATGGAGTGACGACCTGGTAAGATATGCAGGAAGTCGATGGATGCAGGTGGCTCAGGACCGTGCTTTGTGGCATTCTTTGGGGGAGGCCTATGTTCAGCAGTGGACTTGTGAAGGGCTGTAATGATGATGATGATGATAGATTTTTAAAAGTTATCTTAAAAATAAGTTTAAACAAAAAAACAGGCAATAAGCAAATAAAGGAGAATATAACATAACAATAACAATGTTATGTGTGTGTGTGTGTGTGTGTGTGTGTGTGTGTTTGTGTATATAATTTCCGTCTTAAATATTGATTTGCTTTGGTGGAAGATTACAGTCGAAGAAAATTCTTTATTATAACTTTTAAGTATGCGACATATTACAGAATTCTGTTCATAATTTGAGCGACTTGAAGGAACATGAAATAACGAAGTATGTCTAGTGCGTTTAGTAGGTGCTCGTAGTTGTAAAGTGCAGGAACTTAATTCGGGGCTATCAATTTTGTTACTGCAGATATCATGTAGGAATAGCATCTGCAGTAAAGTTCGACGATCTTTCAACTGCATCAATTTATGAAAGTTACATGATTCTTTATAATTTTTAAATTTTTTATTTTCAGATCGAAAATTCAAGGCCTTAATAATTTTTTTCTGTATTCGTTCTATTTCGTGTATATATGTTATATAATTTGGATTCCACACAACACTGCAATATTCCAGGACACTACGGACGTAAGAATAATATAAAACCTTTATACATTCTACGTCTGAAAAAGGTTGACAAACCCGTAATACAAAACCAAGATTTCTATAAGCGTTTGTAACCATTGCTGAGATATGATCAGACATCATCATTTTTGAATCAAAAACTACTCCGAGGTCTTTGGTTTAGTCAGTGTTTTCTAACGGTACATTATTCAAATAGTATTGAGATATATTTTTTTTCCTTTTTCGAGTAAAGCTAATTTGGAAACATTTAGATGCATTTAAGCCAATACGGTTATCACGGCAATAACTGCAAAACCGATATAAGTCATTTTGTAGCTTATAAGCATCTGATTCAGATTTTATGTAAGCGTAAATTTTCATGTCATCAGCGTACATAAGAAACTTAGCAAAATGAAAACAATTGCCCACATCATATAAGTATACCGCATA